GAGCCACAGAATCAGAGCCCAGAGGTAGCCATCCCATGGAAAAGAGGTCACGCTGGGTGAATATACCAACAAAACAGCATAGGGACCCCACTCCTGCTACCAGTACTAACCAGAGCAACTCTTCATTTGTAATTATGTGTGGTAAATAAAAAAAAAAATCAAAATAATTTTCAGAAAAAAAAGGCATGAAAGAAGAGAGGCAGCAGAAACAGGAACAATAAAACAATGTCAGGAAGAGAAGTGAATGTAAAACTTTTGTGATTTTTTAAATATTCTCTCCATAAAATAGAGAAAATAAGAATTAATGTATATCAAATTTATCTTATCAAAATAATGAAATACCATTATTTGGCAATCCATACATGACCACATAATTGCAGATATTTTATTTTTGTTTTTGGATGTTTAGAATCAACCTAGTCAAAGCACCTAAATCTTCATTTGTTGCAGAACAAAATGCAAATATTACAGATTCATAGAAATGAACATATAGTTGGCAGCATAGAAATAGGTATATAGTTGACTGATGGTGAGAGTAGAGGGCAGGGAGAAGTGACGGAGGGAAATTTGAAGCTCTAATTTTATCTAGCATAATCCAGAATCAGTAGGTAACCTTTATTTAGAAATATTTGTGAAAGTTATGATAAACAATATAATATTAGAAGTTAACATATCTCAGGAAAAGAAAAGGGAGTTTGAGTAAGAGTGCTGCATATTTTTAAAAAATTGATCAATTCAGAAGGAGAAATGCAAATCTATTTGTTAGAATTGCACTGGTAATCACCAGAACTAACACTACAAATGGGTGAAGTGGTTAGCACTTAGGCTGGGACTAGAGATAAAAAGGAAGAAAGGAACTTTTATTTATTTTTTTTATTTGTACCCTCTTGTGAGTTTTTTTAAACAACATTTTTACATATTACTTTCATAAATAACAATTATTTAAAAATAAACTAACCAAGATTATAGAGAAAAACTTCTGAGTTTTTCCTAATAAAATGTTAATACAAATGCTAATGCCAATACAAAAGTCTAACAGAGAAGAAAATGATAAACTTTTAATTTTATGAACTTATTAATACTGATGCAAATATATGTTAATAAATTTGGTAGTTAAGTAAAAGATTGATGTGATTCACCTAGAAAGTTTATTCCTAGAAGACAAGGATATCTCTATGTTAAGAAATAAATGCATACAATTGTACATATTAACAAATCAATTAGGGAAAAAAGCCACAATTATCCGAATGGACCGAAAAGTCAATGTTCTTTTCTGATTGATAAAACCTATAATAAAAGATAAATAGATGTCTATATATTTAACATGATAAAAGTAGTTGAAACATTGTATCACAAAATTTAACTCCTTAATATATAAAGTGCTCTTACAAAGCAACAAGAAAAAGATATACCCAATAGGAAAATAATAGTAGAAGGGAAATCACCAATCAAGTATCCTCAAAACATTACAAAATGTTCAATTTCATTAGTATTTAAATAAATGTAAGTGTAAGCTATGAAATAACTTTAAGCTATTAGCTATTATATTGGCAATGATTAAAATGTTATACTGAGTATTGGTGAGGTTGAAATAAATGGGCTCTCTGATCTGACTAGGAGAGGTACATATTAATAAAATAATTCAGGAAGGCAATTTTTTAATACATTAAAAAGTATTGAAAGTGCATTTATCCTTTGATTTAGAAATTTCACTTCTAGGATTTATAGATAAAGAAATCACTTAAATGCTTTCAAAATTTAGCAACAGGATGATCAAAACATTATATTTTATAATGGAAAATAGAAATAAACCAAATGTCTAACAGTAGAATAATAGTTATGTGAATTATGATAAATCTGTATAATACTATTCAACCTTCAAAATTAATGTTGCACATGCATACTTGTTCATGTAGAAGATATTTAAGATATATTAAGTGATAAAAGCAAGGCTTGAAGTAATGTAACAATATGATCTTGTTTTTGTTTAAATTATCTATCTAGCATCTATCTATTTACCTATCAACCTACCTACCTACCTATCTATCTGAAAAAGGCTGGAAGAATATTTATTATGATGTTAATGTTAATTACCACTGGTTGGTGTTTTTCATTTTTATTATTGTTTACTATGATTATACATTATATATTGTATATTATTACATATTATTTTTCTTTTCAAACATATTGCTTTTACATGAAAATAAGCAAATGTTATTTTAAGGTATGTGATCTCTTGTGTAAAGTATGAAAAAGGCTTAATATGCTTTTTACAAGATAAATCCCACAATTCAATAGAAAATGAACACAGTAGAAAAATGGGCTGTAGACAATTGCCAAAATAAAAACTGTTAATGACCTAGAAACAAGAAAAATTCAACCTGACTAGTAATTTAAAAAATAAAATTAAAAAGAGATTCTCTTTTTCTATAACCAAAGAGACAAAAGATTTCTAAAAAACAGAAAATTAATTATCTATGAAAGCAAATGTTTAGGGCTATGAGATCTCTTGTACAATGCAGAAGTGGGAGTAATATTTCTGCAGAATATGAAACCACATAACAAAAGTGTTAATATTGTACATGCCATTTGGTCCAGACATTTCCTTTCTCTGAATTTTCATAAAAAGAAATGTGGACATGCACAAATAAGGATGTTAATTACAGCATTTTTTATAATGATGAAAATTGGAAAAAACCTAAATGTTCAAAAATACCAGATTGATTAGCTAAATTACAGCATATGAATAAAATAGAATATTACCCCAAAATTAAATTGGGTTTTTAGAAGAATATTTAATGACGTGGAACAGGTTTGTGATATACTGTAAAATGAAAAGAAAGTGTTCTTTTTCTGCTCCCCCACAATAGCAGAGAATATGTTTTTGGATGTCATGTGAAAAATACTCTGGTATCTTACCATGTTTGGCATTTGACCACTAAAAATGACTGCTGGTGCCTTACTGATGCCTGTCCTGGCACTTGGTAACAGTGACACTGTGAGTGTCTCTCTTTTGTCTACCTTTTTGAATTTATATGATGATTCTACCAAGAAAAAATACCTTATTTAAATAAGAAAACAATATTGGTGAATAATGCACCTATATTCCTGATGATTAGAACATTAGACCGAGCACTTACGAATAAGTTAGTGATCTTAACTTGAAAAAGCAATTAGAACTCATGAAAAAATAAGCATGTCACCTATTAGATGTTTTGATTAACTTGATAATACTAAAGTGTGCTTTTTTGCTACTCATTAAAAAGATTTAGGAAGTTAACAGAATAAAAGGTATAATGTGTGCTTGAAACTACATGCAAATTGCAAAGCACGTCCACAGAGTTCCTGAGGTTCAGTTATTGCTTCTATAATGTACAGAGGCTCCACAGTGTGGTGGTTGAGAATTTGGCCTTTTTTGGTCAAAAAGTAAGCTCTGTTACTGTGTGTGCTTGGGCCAGTTGCACAATCTCTGTGACTGTTGGAGGTCACGCCACTGCACTCCAGCCTGGGAGACAAAGCGAGACTCCGTCTCAAAAACAAAACAAAACAAAATAAAGCAAAACTAAAATGTATATAATGATAGTACCAACATTACAGGGATGTTGTGAGGTTTAAGTTCATATATTTAAAGGCCTCAGAATCCGCATGGTAAGATTTCAATACATGCTAGCTGATATTACAATTTTTACGATTATTGTTACTCTATTTCCTGTCAGCCTGATTTCTATGTCTGTCTTTTACAACAAAACTTTATCAGCGGAGAAAGCCCGAAGCTGTCTTTGAATTTTGCAGAGCATACATGAACCATCTAAAATAAGCCATGGATATCTATGCTAAAGTTGTAGACTTGCTGGTGGCCCTCTCCAACTTTTCTGCTTTGTTAGCATCTGACTTTCTGTTGGATGCACACTGCAACTTTATTCTTCATTCAGTCCTTTGGATGACAGTATCAATTTTGGACTTAGAATCATGATTTTTATCTGAAGCCCTTCTCTAGGTCTCAGTCCTAAACGCTGACCTCGCTATTTGTGAACCGGAACTGTGACTAAGGACTGCCTTACTGTCATTGTATCCTGTAGAATCTGTTCAGGCCTGAAATGAGAGGAAGGCCAGATAATAGACAGGTGGACAACGGTGGAGGTTCAGTCGTCGGCTCTTGGGTTGAAGGGAAGAGGATGTCAGCAGGAGGATTTTAGGAAGTGAAACTAAAAGAAAATTGAGGATGAAAGAGAGGGCAAAGTTGAGGAAAATTTCTACATTTTTGTCTTGGTTGCCTGGAGGCACTATGAATAAGAAATGGCAAGTTTCCCATCAAAGATGTCAAGTTGTTACATGAGGCAGATTTGGGGATTTCAGGCAGAGTTTTCCAGCAGACAGTGAAAATCTAGTTTCAAGAATTCACACCATTCCTCCAGTGCCCTAACTACCAATTAGTTTGAATTAACATAAGCCGGTATAGAGTAGACTGTTATTTTCTCTTCCCTGTTCATTTTCAGGAGAATTTGGGTTCATGCTATATCGGAAATAAATTCAGATCATGTATGGACTTAGATAAAGATGTATTGTGTGAGGGTCCACTAAGAAAAAATCTGAACCTCCAGGAATCTGAGTTCCAGAGGTTCTTTTTTTAAAAAAAAAAAAAAGTCATGAAATACAACAAAATCAGTTAATTCCACAGCCAATTGAATTTGTTTCTAAAAGGAATAAAATGTCAGAATGCACAGATATATCAGTTTTGAAATAACTCAGAGCCACAAGTGTATCTTTTGAAATCCCATATTATAAATTATGGTTAAGAGATTTAAATAGACTCTAGTAATACTATTAATAGGTGAGAATTTTGAAATGTGTGGCTTCAAAGGCAAATGCAGAAAAAAATAGTGATACTTTGCAAAAGGCATATACATGTCAACCTACAATGTTATTTAAAATGTTATTATTTCTGCCAGAGTGTTTATTATATGAATGAAATAAAAGGGAAAAAATAGCTAAATAACTAAAAAAGGACAGAAGTTCTGGAAAGAAGAAGAAATAAAGATTAAAGCGATGGAAAAGATACCAATACAATTTTTAAAGGAAAAGGTAAATCAGTAAGATACAAAATCTTGTTTCAAGGAAACTGGAGGAATAAAATAAGCAGATTTAATTCATGTCATGTGCACAGAAAGGAAAAAAGGAGGGACACAGGACAGAAAAGTGAACTCAAAGTCACAGCCTTGCTGATTTGCTGTTTCATTCCTTAGAAACCCTCTATCAATAAAATATAACCACAACTCTGCAGAATACAAACAAATATAAAGTTATGCATTAAAGGCAAGAAAGATTTAACAAAACACTGAGACTCATCTTTGGGTGGAGAGAGAATGAGTGGCTTTTCCTTCTTTTTAGTTTTCTGTACTTCACCTAAGTGTCTTACATGAAGATTAAGCTATTTTCACAATGGACAGGAATTAACTCGATTAAAAAATGAAGCTCTGAATCCAATTTCATATTAAAATTTAATACAGCAGAGCTTTACTCTGTGACCAGCTAATTTGGAAACTGAACAGGATGACATTCTTCCCTGTGCAGTGTATATTACAAACCTTCATAAAGAAAAATAGTTGTCTCCATTATCTGACACATTTCCTAGCCTGTGTTTCCAATCACTGGCCTTCAACAGGTCCATCTACCACATGGGTTTTGCACTGTCTTTGCTCTCCCTGGGAAACAAACAACATGCTACTCATGTCTACTCTTACTCTTTCCTATGTGGGTCTTGTCGGGCCTCTGGTGTAGGATTCCCCTGGCTCACAGAGTCTGAGAGGAAACTGCAGCATTTTATTTGAACGTCTTCAACCTTAGACACTCACAGTTTCCTCTGCCCTCTCACACATGCGTTCCAGAATTCGGTGAATACTGGTGAAACTGGGTCTGTCTGCAGGCAGCTTGCTCCAACATAGACGCATGAGATTGTACAGCTCCACGGGGCAGTTCTCAGGGCAGGAGAGGATGTTGCCATCTCGCACGTAGTAAATGACCTCCTCATGGGCCATCCCATAGTAGGGCTGCAGGCCATAGGAGAAGATCTCCCAGAGGACCACGCCGTAGGCCCACACATCAGACTCTGTAGTGTAGCGGTTATAAAAAATGGACTCTGGTGGCATCCAACGGATAGGGATAGCGTCGTTTTCATTAGCTTTGTAGTAGTCTGCTGAGTAGATGTTCCTGGAGAGGCCAAAGTCGGCAATTTTTACCACCATGTTCTCGCCCACCAGGCAGTTCCTGGTGGCTAAATCTCGGTGAACAAACTTACGTTCTGAGAGGTAAGCCATACCAGCTGCCACTTGCCTGGCAATGCAAAGCTGCTCAGCACAGGAGAGGGGTGGGGGTCCAGGGCTGGAGACCTGGGCCCTCATAGACAAGTCACTGTGACTGAGGCTGCACACGGTGTGAGGGGACATGCTGCGGAGGAACTCATTGAGATCACCATAGGCCATGTATTCAAAGAGCAGGCACATTGGCTTCCCGACAGCACAGACGCCTGGAACCAAAAGACCATCCTCTGTTAGTCTCAGTTTCTACAATGAAACAATGGAAAGAGCACTCCAAAAGCAAACAACCAGGTCAGAACATATGAAGCCCTGTTTTTTGTTGTAGTATATTTGTTTTTTAATATTTACATCCTTTTAATCACAACACAAAAGAAGTCTCAGCTAGGAAATGCACTCTGGTTAGTGGGGTTTCCGTCCCTTGGCTAAAGTTTTTGAGGACTTCCAGCAGAGCGCTGTTGTCCTGGGCACTTGTCACAAGTACATCATACATGGCTCATCAAGTACATGGTGCATATAAGTACATGGTGTATCAGTTCATTGGGGTGGTTCTTCTCTCTGAAATCTGGAGGCTCTGGTTTTTTGTTGACAACACCATAGTTGAACCATGACCCTGTTTCTCTGCCTAAACATCTCTCTTTGCCTTTAAGATTCAGTTTATTTATCACTCTCCCTAGGGTGCCTCAGCTCCTGACCCTTCCAGTAACTGTTAGATTTTCCTACCATCATCCTTTCACAGAGAACCTACCATCCTGTTTTATAATCATTTGACTATTTGAGGTTTCTCCCCGACATTTTAGCACTTTGAAAGGAGAGATTGCACCTTATTCTTCTTTAAAAATTCCCCACACCTACCACGTGTCTGGCAGAGCAGATGTCTCATAATGTTCGGTGAATTAATTTATGAATGGATGCTTGCTCTGAGTATGTAATATAATTGCTGTCTGTTTCTGTTTACTTCTGTGAAGGATGTTAATAAGAAAGATGTGTCAAGTTTGGAAACAATAACAAATACAATTCAAGTGTCTTAGATGAAGTATTTAAGTTGCTGCCGTAAAACATTTTGAAATTTAGGTTTTACAATGTTCATGCTACCAAAAAATGTTAATATAAATAAAGTCGTAGATTTAAAGCCAGAAGATCATTTTCAGATCTTAAAGTCTTGATATATTTGAGAGGGAAACTGGAGAACCTGGAATATTAGATAAGATGGCATAATTTCACATCACCTTAAAAATAGATTATTAGATCTATTGGTTTTTTTTTCAGGCGAAAGTTAAAAGTAGCTGTTTGAAAAAGAGGAGAAATGAGGAATACTGCTATCTTGGTTTATTTATTTTGGCATTAAATTTTAATTGCAAGGACCGCAATTAGCACATTTATATAAACTAAAGGGAAAAAATAAAGAAATATCAACTGGGTAATACTTAGAAATTTCCTCTATGGGATCCTTTCTGGATAATCTTTAGTTAACAGGGATTTACCTATCTCATCAACTGGCTTTACCATTGTTACGTTGGTTGAGTTGATTTAAAAATAATTTCTTATACTGGAAAAAAGTGAAAAATATTTCTCTCAGAAATATAAAAAATTTCTAAGTTTATTTAATGAAATTTTCCACTCTGATAAAGAAAATATTATATAAAAGATTTCTACTTTGTGATCATTATGAACAATTATATATATATGTGTATAGATACAATTTATAATTATATATGTATATACATTTATTTAAGACCTTGAAATGTTTTCTATATTGTAATTACTCAAAACCAACTCTTAGTTGGGACTTCAAAATGGAATAATTATTGAGAGGAAGACTGTGTTTTATTCATCCTTGTAACCTCAGGTCTAACATGGCTCACTATGGGTTTTCAATATATATTGATGGGTGGATGGATGAATTAATGGATAGGTGGATGCATGGATAGATTTAAGGATGGATAGGTAGATGGACGGGCATAAGAAAACCTCATGCCTAGCCCAAGCCATGTCTTTAAACTTTGGCATGACATCTTCAATGAATAATCTCACCTGATTGTTCTACTATTTGCTCCACTGCCAGAACATTCCGTAAGAGTCTACAATATTTAATGCCTACTCCCATTCTAAAATTCTACATATTTCTCTAATTATACCATTTTTTTCCCAATTTACGACTACAAAACCATTGTACACTTTAGGATTTCAATAAAGGGGAGTCAATTTTTAAGATACGAACATGTTCAGTAAGTGGCTGATATTTCAAATATATAAAACAAAGTAGATATCTTTTATTGATATAAGTGAATTTTATGGACTTTCCCAACTCCCCTTTCTTCCACTGTTGTCATCTTATTTCATTGGGATTCACTTCCAAGAAACTATGAGACTAGTGGAATCACTTGCATGAATGATTACTGCTTATGCATACTTGATAAAAAACAGAACCTGTGTTCATTGGATATTGAAATGGAATTTAGATATAGCATTTAACAAATGGCAACATAAGTTTCAGTTCTTGTTGGACAATAAAAATGAGAGAAAACTCCAAGTAGTGATGTATAAGTATGCCACTGTGGTGATCATAATTTGAAAATTGTACATAGTTTGTGTTTGAGTCAATTTCAGGAATTCAGGATGTTATAAACTGTATATGAACACAGAGTCAACATTTTAAGAAAAGTTGAAATAGGAATTGCTTGATAATCTTGAAAATATACATGTGTATATGTTCGTTTAATGAGTAAATGTATACTATTTGAGAAAGTAAATAAGGAGGGTAGGGGGCAGAAGCCAGATTCAGATTTTTGTGTGATGAAGAATGAATAAATGAATGTTCAGAATTTGAGGAAAGGGAAGAAGTATTTTCAAGGTGAATTGTTATGTACTGAATATCTTTTACTCATTTATTGAACAAATATTTATAGAGTACCTACAATGTGCCAGAAAGTATTCAAGATGCTACTATAGAAATTCTTGATTTTGATATTTATCTAGATTCCTTCCAATATCCTGACCACTAAATTACTTTACTTCTTTCCTTAGACCTCTGCCCAACTTCAGCTAATTACTCTCATTGTCATACTCCTGACCTTGTCATTCCATACATCTGTATACCTCCCATAATCTCATTTTCAGTTACTCTATTTGTTCATCACTTCCTCCCTTTTTCACCCTAATTCACTGCCTCGAGTGCCCTAACTCTAAAAATCCTTTGACCCAACTGAAACTTTTAATCTATTGATCCTACCCCCTTTTAATGATCCCTCACTTTCTTCACGTTTTTTCTTCCTTCCTTAAACAACTTAAGTTCCTTGATCAATCATAATAATCACTCCTTTGCATATACCCCTCTTATTTGCCTCAATTTGACTTCAACTTACTTGTGTGGCAAAATGCTAATTCTGATAAAATTTAATTCCTCATTAATGGGTCTGTGCCCATCTGGTGGCATTTGGATGAATACACAACCATGCTGACCAGTCTCATGTTAAATGTGTAATCTCTAATTTCAAGTAAGTTTTTAATTTTCTTGCGAATCATACTATATTGCTCTAGTCCATTTTATATTTTATGTAAAAATGGATTTTCTTAGATGACGATTTATTTCTTCTCTTCCCTCAAATCTTCAACTCTTCTCCCATTCCTCACTCTCAGATGAGATCTTGATTCCTACCTCACAGAGAAAACTAAATCAGTCAGAAGACACTGTCTACAATCTTCAGTCAATACTGTCTTATTACTATGGTTGATCTGATCATTCTCTTAACAAAGGCCAATCCATCCAACAGTGTCAAGATTCCATTCCCTCTCACTGTTCAAAGATGTTACTTCCACTATTTGCCAACCCTATAATCAATTTTTCTCTTTACTGGATCATTCTCATTAATTTACAAATGTGCTATTATTTCTACATGAAAGGAAGCATGCCTCTTTCTGCCCCCTTCAGCTCTATCCATGTTCCTTGGTTCATCTTTATAGCAAAACAAGTTGTTTATACTTTTTCTCCAAATTTTCTCTTCCTCTTCTTTTGAGCTCACTTACATTTCCTTTTGCCCCCAACATTCCCAAGAAACTTCTCTTCTCAGGGTTACCAGTAAACCTCCATGTTTACAAATTCAAGGTCACTTTATAGTCCTTCTCTTACTAGACTTAATGCATAAGACACGCTTACTTTCACCTATTTAAAATACTTCATTTGACTTTCAGGACACCACACTCTCTTGATTTACTCTATTTCATTGATTGCTCATTTTCAGTTTGTTTTTCTTGTTCATCTCCTCTTTCTCATCCTAAATGCTGGAATGCTCCTGGCCTTGGTCCTTGGACCTCTTCTCTGTTCTGGCTTGCTTTTTCCATACTTAGGTGTCTTGCCCAACCTCATGGCTTTAAATACTCTATATACTGCAATAGCCTTGGATTCATGTCTAACCAGATCATGCTTTTTGAACTCTAAGCCTCCATATCCACATGCCTCCTTAACTTCATGTGGATGTTGAATAGGCATCAGCAAAAAGCACATCTTTTTTTTTTTTTTTTTTTTTTTTTTTTTTTTCAGATGGAGTCTTGCTCTGTCACCCAGGCTGGAGTGCAATGGCACAATCTTGGTTCACTGCAACCTCCGCCTCCTGAGTTCAAGCAATTCTCCTGCCTCAGCATCCCAAGCAGCTGGGATTGCAAGCGTGTGCCACCACGCCAGGCTAATTTTTGTATTTTCAGTAGAGATGGGGTTTCACCATGTTGGCCAGGCTGGTCTTGAATTCCTGACCTCGGGTGATCTGCCCACCTTGGCCTCACAAAGTGTTGAAATTATAGGTGTGAGTCACCATGCCCAGACAAAAACCACATATTTAAATGAATTCCCACTCTCTCCACTAAAAGAACCTGTTCCTCCTGGGTATTCCTCAACTCAGCCAACGCCACCTCCATTCACTCATCTGCACAGCCAAATACCTTGATACTATGTTTGACTTTTCTCTTTTCTGCACATCTCAGATTTGGTCTGTCAGCAAATTATTTGGCTCTACTTTCAAATTACACATGAGAATCACTTCTCACGATCTTCACTACCACCACCTGGTCCATTCCACCACCTTCTCTTGCTGCATCATTGCAATACCTGTTTGCTGTCTTCCTGAGTTTATTGCTTCCTTTCAGGCAATGCCCTAGAAAGCAGCCAGAGAAGATCTGAAAAAATGTGAGTTGTGTCATGTCATGTCTTGGCTGAAACTCTCCATTTGTTTCCCAACTTAGATTAAAAGCCAATGTTTTTAAGAAGACCTGACAGGACCTGCCCACCTCCCCTATTACCTCTCTGATCTCACCTTTGATAACTCTCCCCATCCTTCACTCTGCTCCAACCACATTCATCTCCTCACTATTCCTCAAGCATGCCACATCTGCTCTTGCCACAGTACCTTTGCAAATGCTTCTCATTCTTATTGGAATGTTCTTTTCCAAGATATCCACACTGTTATTCCCTTGCCTCTGCCAAGTCTTTATATAAATGTAATATTTTCACTGAAGACTTCAAACATTGTAGCTCACATTCCAAAAACTTCTCTGCCTTAACATTTTAAAAAGTCTTTAGAATTTAATATCCAGCATCCCATATTTTTGTGTTTATTTTTATTATCTCTCTCCTCCAATAGAGTGAATGTATGCTCTATGAGAGCACAGATTTTTTTCTCTTTAAAGATGGAATCTCGCTCTGTCGCCCAGGCTGCAGTGCAGTGGTGTGATCTTGGCTTACTGCAACCTCCGCCTCCCCAGTGTAAGCAATTCTCGTGCCTCAGTCTCCTGAGTAGCTGGGATTACAGGCCCACACCACCACACCCAGCTAATTTTTCTATTTTTAGTAGTGATGGGGTTTCACCATGTTGGTCAGGCTGGTGTCAAACTCCTGACCTCAAGTGATCCACCTGCCTCAGACTCCCAAAGTGCTGAGATTGCAGGCTTGAGCCACTGCTCCCAGCCAAGAGCACAGATTTTTGAAAGTTTTATTTATTGCTGTATAATTAATACAAGCTAAATATTTGTAAAATTTGTGTTGAATTTCTGAATCTCGGAATAAACTGGAACTCAACAATGAATAGAAAGATACAAATCACTGCTCATGACATTCTAGATGGGAAGAAAGAGGAGAAACAAAATAAACAAGTAAAATACATAGACTCTTCAATATTGACACATTTTGTGATGGGGAAGCAGTATTAATTTTTTACAATGGGGACATTTTAAACATTTTTGTAAATAGTAAGGAGGCAGCAAAGACAGAGACAAATTGAAATGATGAATGTAAAGAGGGATAATCCATTAAGCCATGAACGTCCTATAGGGTTGGGATAGACCAAGGTGAAGAAGCTAACTTTGAAATGGAACAGAAATGTCTCACTGATCAAGGAGAAAAGGAAAAGGCATAAACAAGGGAAGAAAACTTGGAAATCCTCTGTTTTCTGATGAAATGCATATCCTCACTTGTATTTTCATACCTAAGAGCTTCACAATGTTAGGGTTGTCAAATTCTGCCATGAGGGCTGCCTCCCTCTGAAAGTCTGCTTGCATATCTGCCGAGGCTTCTTCTTTGAGCATCTTTACTGCCACCATAGTGAAAGGTTCATAGGGAAGTAAACCTGGTGCCCTGAGAGATACATTTATTGAAAAAGAAACCAAAGATCATGGACATCATACATACTCCCATTATACCTAACCACATTTATACATATCCTCCCACTTCCCATGTGTAAAAGGCTCGTGCAGCCTTTCCCAGAGCCATAGGATCAAACAAAGACAACATACTTGAAACTCCTTGATGTCAACTAATAAAAATCACTGGTGTTATTTTCAACAATTTCAAACAATGAAGTTTGAAAGATGCATTATTATTTACAAATTATAGGAATTCTAAAGTATACACCCCCAATGGGATTATCATTGCCATCCTAACCTTTTTTTTTTTTTTTTTTTTTTTTGAGATGGAGTCTCGCTCTGTCCCCCAGGCTGGAGTGCAGTGGCGCAATCTTGGCTCACTGAAAGCTCCACGTCCTGGGTTCACGCCATTCTCCTGCCTCAGCCTCCCGAATAGCTGAGACTACAGGCGCCTGCCACCATGCCTGGCTAATTTTTTGTATTTTCAGTAGAGATGGGGTTTCACCATGTTAGCCAGGATAGTCTCGATCTCCTGACCTCGTGATCTGCCCACCTTGGCCTCCCAAAGTGCTGGGATTATAGGTGTGAGCCACTGTGCCCAGCTATATCTTAACCTTTTAATCTTTGTCCAGAATCTAAATTCCATGATGTAGGAACCATGGCTTACTCATCTTTGTAACCTCCATTGAGCCTAAAGTGCATCTTTGTACCCTCCATTGAGCCTAAAGTGGTGCCTTGCAAATTTTGGTTTCCAATACATATTTGTGTGAGATTTTCATTATGCATGTAACCTCTATGCCAGGGCCACCATGAGTGGAGATTAAGTTGTGTCTTCCCCAAGAGCACCAGGCCAAAGTGACAGTTGAAGATTAAAACCAAATTCATATTCTCTGGCTCAGCTGTGTGTCTGTAGAGCCACATCCATGCAGCAGAGAGGGTATTTTATTCCAGTTCACGCAAAGGTGATAAATAGGCTAATATTGGCCCTAATACATACTCCTTTCTTGAGCTCATTGTTTTATAAATTTTTGCCTTTTTATTCCTTTACTGTTTGTCATTTCATGAACATCTACTTAATATCTACACATTATATTATAATGTAAGGAGTTATTATTTAAAACAATGTAAGAAATTATGATTAAAAATATATGATAAATTCTTTCCTGAAAAGGAAATATTATTGAACTGTATTACTAATTTCTTATTTGAAAACTGTAGAAGTGAAGACATATTTACATCTCCCATAAATTGCTTATTTTAAATGCAAAAAAATATATTATCTCCATATACACTACTGTTTTCCAGCAAAGAGGAGAAATTAAGATTTGAAGTGTATTATGCAATACAAATAAGGTTAATGATGTAAATAATTAACTAGTCTTTTTTTTGGGGGGGACAGAGTCTTGCTCTGTCACCCATGCTGGAGTGCAGTGGCACGATCTTGACTCACTGCAACCTCTGCCTTCCGGGTTCAAGCAATTCTTCTGCCTCAGCCTCCCGAGTAGCTGGGATTACAGGTGTTCACCACCACGCTTGGCTAAATTTTGTATTTTTAGTAGAGACAGGGTTTTGCCATGTTGGCCAGGCTGGTCTTGAACTCTTGACTAAGGTGATCCTCCCGCCTCAGCCTCCCAAAGTGCTGGGATTACAGGCATAAGCCACCACACCTGGCCAGAATTAAGTAATTTGATAAAAACTTTTTATATAGTATATGAATACTATATAATACATATATGATATTGTATTAATACTATATAATACTGTATATTACACTGTGTATATGTATGTGTGTATGTGTATGTGTGTATACACACACAGTATACATATATGTACTATATCATTAGCTTGATATACACGTGTGTGTATATATATAATATATATAACATATATTATGATTTAATATAATTATAATGATTTAATATAAGGGGATATATAACATATTACAAAGTCAAAATAAAACCTTTATGGCAGTAGATGCCTAAAGCCATTTGAAATAGGACACTTGCAAAATTGGAGGTTACAAGAGACGCCCATGTATGACTTCTTAGTCTGGAAGTGGACCCAGTGATTATGCCCTGAGTACCAATGGCTAATATTATATATATATGTATATAATATATATACACAGTATATAAAATATATATATCTATAAAGCTAATATTATATATATACCAAGCTAATAGTTTGGTAGCTTTTCAGACATAACATATTTCAATGGAGATTGTTTTTCCAAACATAACTTTACCTTGCTTGAAACACCCTTCCAAACGCTCCCTCTCCAATGTCTCTCACATATTCAATGTTATTTCTTGGATACTCCAGGCTGAGCAATTTGGGGTTCAGAAGGAGCGGCATCCTCTGGTACATGGGGTTGGGATGAAGTCTATCTAGTAAGAGCTCAGAAGGCAGTGTGGTGAGGGTTACTGCTGCTGATTCTCTGCAGGCAAGACAGGCAAGATCAGGAATGAGCTCAGAAGTAGGTACGATCTTTGTACTTAGACTTAGATTGTAAGAAATATGGCATTTAAGAGTAATGAAAACAAATTATACTTAGGCAGCCAAAGATCCTTCGGTTTGAGAGCAATAAACTATTTTGTTTGGTCTAGAGTCAAAAGGCACATTTTCTCAGAAATGTTTAGCTCTCCAAGCCAGCAATGGCAATGGGCCTGAGAGAGAAGACAAGGAGCAGGAACAGCCATTTTCCTCCAAATTATTGTTTAGATTTTACCTTTTGTGAAACAGTAACCCTAGGGCATTTGATTTGATCCTATGCCAAAAAGTCATTGACATTTGTAAAGATCATGATGGGGGTGCTTAATTTTAAAGCGGGGCTATGGATATATTTAGAGAGTTGCAGTGTCATACATATTCCTTGTGTCATACCAACTCCGTATTAAACATGAGGTTTTAAAATATTACTACACGTGGTTAGCTGAAACTAGAATCTCACCTTTTCTTATTTTTCCATTGTTTTCTTCTTCGGCAGCAATAGAGAGTAGTTATGGTAAGAAGCACAAATATTGCAAAGCTGGACATGATGGAGATTATTACAGTCATGGAGTATGTAGGTGAGACAGAGAAGGAAGAAGAGGAGGAGGAAGGCAAGTTTGGAATGTCCACACTTGACTTTGAGGATGTCATTGGTGGGAATGCTGTAAGTAAACAATAATTATTCATTTTCAAACCTTTAAGAAGCAATTTTTTTTGTATTTAAGCAATCAGTAAAATAAATTTCATGTTAAGAATTTATTTATGTATCAGGTTCTCCCTGGTTATATATCTATAAAGTTCAGTAAGGTCTAGTTGTAAGTAAATCCAGCTTGTAGAATAATAGAATTTTAAAGATGAGAGTCAGAGAGAGGAAATAGTTTTTTTTTTTTTTTTTTTCCCCTGTGCTAAATGCAGATCTTGGTCTGGTGCCATTTATACTGAATCATGTTATCTATGACCTGACATAAATCATGGAAATTATCAAATAAAATATTTTCATGTAATTACACTTGACATCAGGATTGTCTAGAGCTGAACTTTTATACACATTTACTGTCAGTTTACAAACAGAAGAAAAAATCATGAAAGAAGATGAAAAATGAAAATATTAGGACACAAATGAGAAAAAGTTCATCTAAAAACTGAACTCCTGTCAAACTTCAATTTAAAAGTCCAATGTGATATATATACAAGTAAAATCAGCATTACTTTTGGAAAACAAAAGATGCCATACTCATACCACTATTTGTAGAGTACAAAGTCCATTGTATATGTATTAAAAGAACCTTATTAATCACATTTTAAATCCTTTTAATAGATTGAGTAAAGACAAAAACGGGGATACAGAGTATTTAAAAATAATCAACAACAATGTTTTAATAGCTAAGAATGACCTTTGTACCCAAAAATAGGGAATAAACCTTCTTTTCAAATATTTGTGGATTAATCTCAATAAATTTTAAAAGCAGAAATTATGCATATCTACTTAATGGCCAAAGTGCAATTAATAATAGATTAAATAAAATCCAATGGGACATTTTTAAAAAAGAAAAAAACCAATGATCTTTTTATCAAAAAATACAGAGTAACCATAGTTACAGATTAGACACAAGCCTCTTAAGAGTGTGTATTTTATTTAGCCAAAGTTGTGCTCAAAGATAAAGTCATAGTGTTATCTCCTTTCACTCGATAAAAAGAATGAAAGTGAATGAACTGAACATTTAACCCAAGACTTTGGGTAAGAAACAATAACTACAGAAAACAAAAGATAATAGGTAATAAAGTAACAGCCATACACAAGCAGAAATTAATAAGTTAGAATACACATAACACAAATGATAAAATTAAAAGATCAATAGTTGGTTTTATAAATATTCATATAGTAGTCTAATCAATGGAATTTTAATTGAAAAGATAGAAAGGGTACAAACATAGAAAATTAGAAATGATAAAAAAGTTATAACAGATTCAAAGTTAATTAAAATAATATGTAATTATATATTTCACACCTTAAAGAAAATGATAGGAACGTATTAATCACCAAATTTGAAGCATTAGAAAATATAAATATTGCCATAGGCAGGAAGCTAGATTTTTAAGTCATCACATTATAAAAGACATTCTTTTAGTCTTGAAAGAGATAAAATTTCCATATTGATAATATGTTCCAGTAAGAGAAAAGTCTTTCAAATTATTTAAGAAATTATTGTAATACTAATAGCACAACCTGGCAATGTTAGCACAGAAGAGTGCATACATAGATTATACAACCTAGGTTTAGAAGATCCTAAATGAAATGTTAGCAACTGACTACATTATAGTCAGAGAATAATGATTTAATATAAGGGGATATATTAATATAACATATTACAAAGTCAAAATGAAACTTTTATGGCAGTAGATGCCTACAGCCATTTGAAATAGGACTCTTGCAAAATTGGAGGTTACAAGAGACTCCCCATGTATGACTTAGTCTGGAAGTGGACCCAGTGATAATACCTTCAGTACCAATGGCTAAGCTAGTGATTTTGAAGCCTGCGGAGGCCAGGCCTGGTCACCACTGTGACTCAGGCAGGCACCTGGAACTGGAAGAACATCAGCACAGCAGTAAAACATCTGGGCAAGACCAGTGACAGCATGCCTCATCCAGCACCACAGGAGTGGTGGACTGTACAGACTGACTAGGTTCCTCTCTGACCGACTTGAAAGCTAGTCTGATTCTCTTTGGAATGAGTCATCCCAAGTTTTCTTGATCTAAGATGGGTGGGTGGGTGGGGGGCTTAAATTGAAGAGCTTTGCTTTCTGCTAATAATAAAGTTGGAACAATTATTAAAAGATAGGGAGAAACAACTGTTTTTGTGTTTGGAGTTTACAGAGCCGCTCACACCATATATAACGCATGAGGGAATATAATGTAATTGAGAAAATTGGTAGTGTAATTTCATTGGTAAATATAAGGTTAATTTTTCTAAGAAGAATCAGAAAGTAGAATTTAATGTCATTTTAAAAAAATCTATGATGATTTAGTGAGTTTTTTTTAATGCAAGAAATGACATAGTTGGAACAATACTTTTGCTTTATGGGTTTAAATGTTTCTTTCCTTCAAGATAGTTTTGTTTTGTTACTCCTTGATGACTGCTTCTGATTTGATCTGATCTTCCGCTGAACTACATTAATGAGCTCTTTGGATCTAAATGATCACTTTGAATCTTCATTCTTTTCCTTTTTATCTTTTCTCTTCTCTCAACAATTTTCTCTCTATATTCTTTTCCTCTGAACACTGCAGGAGTTTATGCACTCATTCATCCATGTGTAAATGCATTCACTAAATCAATATTGACTGTCAGGTGTCCAGAAAACTGTGGTGAACATGACAAGCCTTTGCTTGTCATGAGACACAAGTGAGTAAATAGAGAAATAAAATATAAGAAGCATTATAAGCGTAGTAAGAACATGATGCTTATGAGTGTTCAGGGCTGGCACTAACTCAGGTTTAGACATACTGGGGAGGTTTTCTAGAGTGAATGACTGTAAGTTAAATATAAATGGTGAGTAGCCAGTAACCAATTGAAGGTTATGATGATGTGAGACTTTGTGTCTTTCCCCCAAATTCATATGTTGAAATGAATAAGGATAGAGTCCTGATGAATAGGATTAATGCCCTTATAAAAGAGGTCCAAGAAAGCTCCCTGGCCCCTTCTGCCACATGAGAACACAGGGAGAAGACACCTATGTCTAAGAGGAATGAGTCCTCACCAGATATCAAATCTGCTGTTGCCTTGATCTTGGACTTCCTGGACTCCAGAACTGTGAGAAATAAATTTCTGTGGTATAAGCCACCCAGTCTGTGGCATTTTGTTATAGCAACCTGAACAGACTAAGAATAAGGTGAGGGCCGGGCGCGGTTTCTCACGCCTGTAATCCCAGCACTTTGGGAGGTCGAGGCGGGCGGATCACGAGGTCAGGAGATTGAGACCATCCTGGCCAATACGGTGAAACCTCGTCTCTATTAAAATACAAAAAATTAGCCAGGCGTGGTGGCGGGTGCCTGTAGACCCAGCTACTCGGGAGGCTGAGGCGGGAGAATGGCGTGAACCCGGGAGGTGGAGCTTGCAGTGAGCTGAGATCGCGCCACTGCACTCCAGCCTGGGCGACAGAGCGAGACTCCGTCTCAAAAAAAAAAACAAAAACAAAAACAAAAAAAACGGTGTGTGTGGGATGGGGGAATTAAGGGAGTAGAATGGAGTCAGGGTAGAGAGACAGTATTCTACAAAGAAGGAATAGCATATACCAAGATCTGAACTAAGCAGATGTGATACCTTGCTAAAAGTGCACCTAGAAGTTTCATTGTTGGAGTTGGGGAGTATCTACAGGTAAGGCTGCAGATATCAGGTTTAGTGAGAAAAGTCTTTGTATACCGATTTAAGTAATTTGTAACTATGCCATGCAGCAAATGGAGGGTCTCATAGGAGTGTTTTAAGAGGTGGAATAGCATAATCAACTTTTTGCATTAGAAAGATCTGTCTGCCATCCTGATTTCCATGGGATAAAGATTCCCCTCATAGCTTATGTCAAGCTCCCAACGTGAAGCCCTGATCATGGAGTTGGAAAGAGATGTTCAATAGCACATCATTAAACAGGATTTTCATCATACAGATATCACGGATAAAGAGAAAAATCTAAAAGTTTCTACCTAGAAAGAATAAATTACTTACAGGAAAACAATAAACAAAATTCACACCGGACTACCTGCTTCCAACAATAGAAGCTAGAAAAGAGTGAAATCACATCTATAAACCACCCAGAGAAATGTCACTCAGGAGTTCCATTCCCAGCTAATACACCTTTCAACTACCCAAATAAAAGAAAACAATTTGATAATATACAAGGCTTCAGGGATTCTGTCTCCCAAGACACTTTCCCTTCTGAGGAAATACATGAGGCGACTCTTAATAACAATTGAATCAGAAAGTGACTTCAATATAAATGTAAATGGGCTGTGATGGGTGGAGTCTTGGCTAATTCACTAGATGAGACTCAATATTGAGAATCACTCTGCAAAGAGAAACCTAAGAGTACTAGGGGAGGTAAGGAAGAAGATCTGAACATTCTGAGGATCTCATTGGAGGTTCTGAAAGTCCCATGGGGTGGGCAGAAATAAGGAATAAATAGAGCACTGCAATGTGTAGAAAGAATTGTGGTCTGACTTTCACTTAGCAGTGGAGAAAATATAACCAGTAACAAGTAAAGAAAAGGAAAAAGAAGAAGCAAAAACATAAAGTGACTAGAAAATGTACAGTTAAGATAGTAGGGATAAAATAGAGTATATCAGTTGTTATATAAAATACGAACAGCCTAAATCCTCCTATTAATAGAAAATAGCTATCAGACTGGAGTAAACCCAGGTATATGTTGTTTATAAGAAAAGAAAAATAAAAGAGGAACAAAGAGGTTCTAGGTTAATGTAAATACAAGGAAAAAATTACCATTATTAATACTAGAAATTTAAAGCTAAAAGCACTAAAACAAGATGAGAGTGACATTTTACATTGATAAAAGGTTTCATATAAGAAGAAAAGTGTCTTGGATCACCATGCCTCATAGAACATAGTACATAGAACACAGAACATATAAATTACAGATTATTATAAATGCTAGAAGAATGTAATAAAAATAATTATGAATTAGACTGGTCTAGTAGAAAATGTATTAGAAAATCAATGAAATCAGTAAACTCATATGTGTATAGAAGGGCTATTAATGTCATGAGATTATTAGCCAGCTAGCATGAGTTTATACTCATGAAAGAACAAGGCCTTGTCACAGAAAATATGGTTGCACTGAAATTCTGATCAGATCATGCTCTGTGCATTGTGTTCTATTCTGGATATTCTCAGGCTTGTGTGCAGCCAGTAAAGAGTAAACATGGAGGTGAGGATTTTGGAAGTCAGTTGCAAAAGAAAATTTTGAAAATTGGTGATATTTAATGTGAATAAGAGAAGACTACAGAGAGATTGAGTGCCTATCTCCAAATATTTCAAGGACTGTCATATAGAATATAAATAAATCAAAGAAACAGAGTGAAGATCAGTTGTTGAAAGTTCTAGAGAACCAGAATTTAGTTCTACATAGCTAAATTGTTCAAATAATGTATTCTACAAAGGAATTAAGAAATACATTCAGGAGGGAAAAGGGAATGTTTCTGTCAGAGATGCTCTAGAAAAGATTATTTCACTGTAGGAGAGTTTGGATAAAATACCTGTTAAAGTTACTTTAAATTCCAATTTTCTATGAACGTGTAACTTTAATATTACCACAAAATTACCCAAACTACATTTCAATTATGAAATAATGCATGAGTTTTACACACACATACATGCACACGAACGCACACACAGAGAGACACTGACACTTTATGATTTCATTTGTGGGCAAAATGGCAGCTGATCATTATGGAAAAGCAGTCTGGGACACAAAGCATGTATTCATTTAAACGTTAACAAAAAGTCAAATCATCACGTGGCCTGGGTGATTTAAAATTGTGAACAATACAATTTTTATCAATTGGACCTTCTTAAGAATAATCAATTAAAACAAATGTAAAAAGGTAGTGGTATTTATTCAAGAATGAACCAGTTAAACAATCAGTTAAGCTTTATTACACGTGAGGTCTTAGAATTTTTTTAAAAATGTTAGTAATAACAGAAAGGCATGAGGTATAATATTCTGGCTCTGAAGACAGAGCCAGAATCAGATTGATTTGAGTTCAAATTCTGGCTTATCACCTTACTAGATGGGTAAAACTGGACACATTGCTTAATCTCTCTTTCTCATGTTGGGTTGTATGTAAAATGGGGGACATTCATAGTACTTAATTTTGTAGAACTATTGGGAGTATTAGGAGAGATAATGTATGTATCACACTAATCAGTTTGGATTTGGGTACATTCATTGGGTCCTTCATTCTCCATGTATATGTATAGAAAGAGCAAAGATGGAAGGAAAAAGAATTCAAGAGAATAGCAAATCATTATTTCAATGATTAAGACAGATTATCCTTTTTTCCACGGAAGCTCTGAAATAGAAGACAGATTCACTGCTGAGTGTTTCTGTAGTAAAGTATGTGAAGTCTCACGGAAGAGGGAAATAGTGTAATCCTTGCTTAGCAGACAAATAATGTAACTAGCACAAAGGCATTGCTTGCTCAAAAAGATGTTTCACTTCAGCCAAAGAAATTATAAAAAAGGAAAACTACTGAAATTCTAGTCCCTGTGCTCAAGGAAGAAGAAAATAATACAAAGATAAACAAATGATTAACAGCTCTTTTGTGACCCCTCCAAATGAGCTGGTGATATTCTTTAGAGTTTACTCAGAAATCAAGACACTTTTTGGAAAATATTTGAGGTCTTTACATGCTCCTATAAAATATGGGACACTGCCTAATAAGGATGTTTTCTTTGCTTCACTATTAACCTGCTAAAGCCAACTCTTTTAATAATAATTGCCTTTAACTCAGGGAGCATACTTTCAGACATTCCCTACCCTATTTTCCATTTAAATGGTCAGTTCATGACATTAGGAGCTCATTTTCTTACGTGTATCAAAGATTTCATAAAGCTTTTTTTTAAAGACTAGAAAATTTATTATTGTAGCTAGTTTGCGCTGCTCAAAATTCCTTTATAATTAGTGTGAAAGGCAAAAATGTGGATGATTTTTGTGTATTGTTCCTGTCTAATTTAAGATGAATGGTCTGGTCCTTCCACACAGTAAACCCTCCATGAATGTTTGAATGGATGACTGAGTAAACAATTGATGGATAACAAAGAGCAGAGTAATCAATTCAAAGTCCAATCAAAGTAAACTTTGGCTGCTCATATAACAAAGAATTGAATTTTTTTTTTTTTATTCCTTCGATTTGGGAATAACAATTTGACAGGCTACCAGAATAAGAGATTTTTAAGGTTTCCATAACTCTTCTTGTTTAATAACTCTGAGTGATTCAACTAGAACCAGTAGCATTCTTTCTTTTAATACATTAAGTGTTGGTCCGTTAAGCAAGCTGGTAAAAATCAAGTCCTGGCACCTAGCCAAGTGCAGAGGGGATTAGGGCTGGAATATGTATTATAGGAAGTAAGTGTGATTTAAGCCTTAGAACACTGAGACCAGAGGAAGTTAATTGACATGAAAAGCTTTTCTAATTTCATCCTGAGGATTTCTGCATTCTGACAGGTTAAAGCACTATCTGATACAAGTTATTTTGTAGGACATCCCTTTTCAAGCTACCTTCTTGAATTATTTCCTAGAGATTTTTGTGATGACCTTTTTAGAGCCATTTGATTTGATCCTATAAACTTTATACTGGAAATCAGCTGTCTTAAAAAAACACCTAACTTTCAAAAGAGGGATCTGTTGTCACAAATGAAGATCACGAATTGGCTCAATGAAACAATAAATGTTGGGTTTCATCTATACCTAGTTAGATTATACCAAATCAAGAATATAAAATCAAAAGGTGACTTTTTAAATTTGGCTTGCTTTACAGACATATAAGAAATAAAACAGGCTAATGACCTGGAGGTGGGAGATAGTATTTGTATGATTCGCTAAATATGGTACTCTCTACGGTCTAATTAAAAGTTACAAACTGAGACCTTCCATGACCTTCTCTCATGTTCTACACTGGATGAGTATGGTGAGAAGCCTTTGAGAGGGGCTGTACATTCTGTTCTGGGCATCAGGAAATATGAGTGTAAACACACATGCATGAATCCAATTACATACACATAAGGTTTCAAGGGCACAAACACAATTACTTACTTTTTGGGTTTTCTTTGTTATAATCTGAAGGGGAAAGGATAAAAATTTGTTTTAAGTGAGCATCCAGATATCTCACATATTCTGTGAGAGTGCTAGGAAACGCAAGTTCTCTTTCAGCTTTTTAATATACAACTGGAAAACATTCTTTGCATTCGAATGTGAAAGAATTGGGTCTTTGAAATTACACCAGCTGTTAGGGATAACAACATAGTTCCTTACAAACAGAGTTCATTAAAGCAACATGAAGCAATTCAGTTTTGTTTTGTGAGATCAGCATTTTCAAACATGTGTCTTATTTTAGCATGCTTTCTTGGCTAAGAAAAAGGACTTTATTCCTTTATTCCACTCTTCTGACAAAATATGAGATGCTTCTTAGCCATTTTTCTGCACATTCCAGAAAATGTTACAAGCTCTCGTAAGATTCCCTATGAAAGAATCTAAAATGTCAAGCAGTAATTAAAAGTGCTGTTTCGTTCATTTTAGAGCAAATGAAATAAATCTTTATCCTAATCTGTGCAATTAGGATAGCATTAGGATTCTACTAGTAAGTATCTAAGGAAGGAATAACTAAAAAAATAAAAATTAGAAATGCCTAGAAATGTTAGAAGCTTTAAGTTCACACCTTAGTTTCTTCAAAATAGTAAATTTCTTTTAACCTACAAAGTCTTGGGAGAACTCTTTGTTACCTAAATGTGGCAGTCTGGCACAGGCTGTAGGGTCCCAGTGCATGCTGGGAAGCTTGCTGCATTCTGGCACCGACAGCAAATGCATCTCAGATCTGTAGAGTCCTCTGTGGGTCTTCTCTTCCATTGCCAGCCATTCTTTTGCACAAAAGAGCTCCTTTACTGCCAAGCAGTACTCTCTAAAATAGTATATGGAGAACAAAACTTGATGAATCATAACATGTTAAAGCAAATTTGTGGCAGAGCCTAAATTCTGTGTTTTCAAGACATCATCATAGTAAATTGTCTGTTCTTGAAAAAAGCATTTATGAAAGGAACTTTTTACTGTAAATAATATGAGATTTCATGAAATCTAGTGTACTGTCGCATGAGATGAAATGCTGTCTCGTTTTGTTGTGAAATACAATTAATGTTAGTCTAGGGGAAAAAACGTCAAATTTAAAATGTGTTAGTTTGGGAACCTCTGATATGTCTTCTCCCAACTCCATATTCAAATAACAACACAGGTAGAGAAATAAGGTATACAGAGTTTAAAAAACACACCTACTGAAAGTCAGGATCATTGTCAATCAGTTTCCAGCTTGGAAGATTTTTCTACGATCTTGGGGCTAATGGGCAGGGCTTGAGGAACATAGTCTGGACCTCTGTGTGCTTTGTCCTCTGAAACAGAACAGCGCCGCCTCCCTGGCAGCTTAGAGGAGGGCACGTAGGTCCTTACTCAGCCCTTACTTTGAGGCACAGAATCCTGTCCTATGGCTATGCGTGCTTCTATCTGAGAAAGCCAAGGTAATATCTGTTTGAATATGAAGCTGTTATGTTCATCTACATGTTGTATTATGAGTGAAGGGGCTGAAGAAACACTAATTGGACTACTTGGAATTTTGCAGATTAGTATTTGCTTAAGCCTGATAGAAAATAGGACAGACTGCATAGGAAAAACCTGGTTAATTTCAAATTAAGGTATTTGGGGTTAATAATAAGAGGAAATTAAAGATAATTAAATAAATTAAACATAATAGTAGCAGATGTCCTTTATTCAGTATGTGAAGGATTCAGAGAAGGAAATTGTGAGTGTGTGTGTGCGTGTATGTGTGTGTATATATGCCACAATGGTGTCTTTTTAAATACTTATTCCCACACTCCTGCTTTCCTAACTTGCCAATATGAGCTAATGGAGCATGCATAGAATAAAAGACTGTGCATATGAATGTGATGAGATGCAAATATATTCTTATATGAAGATAACAATGGGATTTATAATTCTTGGTGGGTGTGAGGGAGAAGGGAGTATAGGGGCTTTCAAGACTTCTGAATAGGTAAAGGACCTGAGGAGAGTTGCTTATCTTTGTTCCACCCCTGGGTTGTATAAACACATTTTTTTTTTTTTTGCATGCAGACAGCATAAAGTGTGCAAAAATCAATATGGAACATATGAAAAAAATTCCATATTCCACATTATGCAGAAGAAGTAAATACCTGGGAAATTTTTTATTCTAAATAGAAGAACACATTAATGAATGACTTTTGGTTTGCTTTGTTTTCATTGCCATGCACTAAAGCATACCCTCTATAGCAGAGCTTTTCACAAGAAAAAAACAAATCAAGATGAACTATAGACTGAAAAGTAGGATAATTTGAACATGGAAGTAACTACAGAAAATAGAAACCACAAAAAATAAAACCAACACTTACAATCTTCATTGCAAATAGAAAACAAATGGCACTGCAAGAAATAAACAAATTTGAACTAAATATTCAATTGAATGCAGAAAGAAAGGACCTAATTGAATGCAAGAAAGGCTAAACAGATGAAAATAACGTGTGAAATAACTGATAAAGTGGAACAAGTAAGAAATTCAAAGTCAAATAATAGTGTTTCCCAGCAAGAGAACCAGAGACATGAAAAATAGAAAATAATCAAAGATATGGTATAAGAAAACATTTTTAAGATGAAAAGGGCATAATGTTTAGGGCATATTACCTATTATGTTTATATTCTTTATATTACATGAAAGAAAACAAAATAAATCTATCCCCAAATGAATTTTACAAATATTTTGAATCTCAACAATTAAAGAAATAATCTTTCTACAATCTGGAGAGAGGAAAATATTCCTTACAAAGGAACAAAAGTCAGGATTGCTTTCTGCTTCCTCTTCATTATAACATGGCCAGAAAATAATTGGCTGGAGTCCATAGTGTTTGAGGAGAACTAACGCAAAAGCTAACACTTATGTTAACACAGACTGAAATACCCAGTCAAAAACACATAGGTACAAAGACAGAATTTTTTTATATGTGAAAAATACCCACTCCACCTGAATGAGAGATGAGTAAAGAAGAGATGAATAAACAAGAAGTGAATTTAAATTAAGAATTTAAGAAAAAGAAAGATTTCATTTGAAATGAATGACAATGAGTATCTGATAAGTAACATAGTAAACTTCTCCAAGTATCTACTGATATATGATTATGAAATCAAATGTAAAAGCTAAGAATAATATTCCAAAAATTGAGCATATGCAAATAAAATGTAATTGAACAATACAAATATGGTTTATAATTTCAGATAAAGCTTCAAAGAACAAGTGTGGAAGATTCAGTACAATTATGCTAACTTAATTAGGTCTACCCTGAATACCTTATTTTTAAAGTTACAACTTTCTCCTCTTCCTTTGGTATTCTCGGTCTTCCTTACCCGAGCATTCCTTTTTTCTTTTTCCATGACATTTAACACCTTCTAGAGTTATATGTAAGTTGTTTATTATGTTCATTAATATATCCTAAATGCCTAGTGTAGTACTTGGAGCCCACAAGGAGATCAATAAATATTTGTTGGACAAATAAAATTCCATGTCATTCATGCAAAGAGGCACACATCATTGAATGACTGCTTATATTAGGTTGGGGCAAAAGTACTTGCAGTTCTTACCATTACTTTTAATGGAAAAACCACAATTACTTTTGTACCAACCTAATAATTAGAAAACCATGAGTGATAGCATGCTTTTAAAAATCTCACAAGCAAGTAGAGGTAGAATATAAAATGGCTGACAACTTCTGAACTACTTTGATGAATAAAGGCAAACAGAGACTTTTTCAAAAGATATAACAAAAAAATGAAGATGAAACTTACCAGTTATCAGCAGTAAATTCAATTTTAGTTTAATATTTCTTGGGGCAAAAAGCAGGAGTCAGAATTGCAAGAAAACATTCTTAGAAATACAATTATTGTGAAAATTTTGATATATCACTATTAAACTATTGGATCAAATAGATAATACTCATTTAAGAGCAGAAAGGATTGAACATAAATATATGAATTTTGTATGTTAATGGAAGAGACTACGTCTTTATAAATGCCAATTTTTATTTTTAATTATATATCAGAGAAAAGAAAACCTCTATAAAATATTAACATGTAAAAATTTTTAGATTATATTTTCTTCAATTGGAACAAAATGACGATGAGGATTTTTAAAAATAACGTTTTTCCAATAAAACTACTTATTTAAGTAACAATGGGAATTAGAAATACATTTTTAAATGTACACTGCAAATGACATATAGATTTAGGAAATAACTATGATTTTCTAATAAATTTAAAATTTCAGTGAAAGGAATTTTTTTCTTTAAAAAAGGTGAAATATTTTCAATATAAGAAAGAACATCTGTGGCTCATGCATGTAAACTACACTGGGACATAAATGTTGGAAAGTTAGTCAATAAATGTATTCTGTGCTAGCACACAAAGATAAAATTTCATTTTAATTCTAGTAAAAATTTCTGAAATTTCAATTAAGAAAGAGTATAATCTAATTAAGATTTATAGTTTTATATTATATATAAACAATATATAATAGTTTATAATTATTTATAGACCATATTATTTCCATCAGAGGAACCACAAACTATCAATCAAAAATCTAATAGAATATTGTAAAGCAGTTGTTGCATATAAATACCATAAAATGAAATGGGTTTATTATATAGTAGTAACAACTTGTTAACAAATAAAATGGAAAAAAATACTTGTTGGCAAGGGTTAATGATTTATGATTGATGAGACTTGATTCCTCTCAATAACTAGGAGGTATAATACCAAACAAAATTGGAATAAACTACAAATTACAGGAATAAATTATTTGGTTGATCCTTTGTGTCTAAAGCTGGTATCTGACTTTTTTGTTGCTGTGGTTGATGAGTCAGTCATCTTGAGTGGCCTAACATTTCTATACTAACTTTCCTTTTGATACTGCCGTTGTTCAAATGAATTGCTTTATAATTCTTAAGCAAAATGAGGGGGAGCTTGACCCTACCTACTTCTTCACGTAATTATTTCCATCTCAACCACGCAAATAAAAGCGGCAATGAAAAGGAACAAACCACTGTTACATGTAGCAATATGGATGAATATCAAAAACGTTATGATGAACAAAAGAAGTCAGACACAAAGCAGTATATATTACACCATTTCATGAGTATGAGATTCAGGAACAAGCAAAACTAGTTGTATGCTATGGTCAGAGAAATCAGAACAGCGATGCCTTCAGAGATAATGGGGAATTGATTAGAAATGAGCATAACAGGGCTGGGCGTGGTGGCTCACACCTGCAATCTCAGCACTTTGGGAGACCGAGGTGGGTGGATCACCTGAGGTCTGGAGTTCGAGACCAGCCTGACCGACAAGGTGAAACCCCATCTCTAGTAAAAATACAAAAATTAGCTAGGCGTGGTGGCAGGCACTTGTAATTTGGCTATTTTGGGAGACTGAGACAGGAGAATTGCTTGAACCCGGCTGGCAGAGGTTGCAGTGAGCCGAGATTGTGCCTGCATCACAGCCTGGCAACAGAGCAAGACTCCATCTCAAAAAAAAAAAAAAAAAAAAAAAAAAAAAAAAAAAAAAAAAAAAAAAAAAAGGGAAAGAAAGCATAAGAGAACTTTATGGGTGGTGAAAACATTCTATGTCTTGATTGGGGTAGTGGTTACATAGTTGTATACTTTTGTCAAACTCTGAACTATATGGTTAAAGGGGTACAGTTTCTTGTATATAAATTATACTTCTATAAGCTATCTCAATAAAGAATACTCTTTAAAAAAATCTGATTAATATGATCCAAAAAATTACATAGTTCAACTCTAAAATGTAAAAATTCTAAAGAAATTAATAGCAGTTTTATTAAAATAAGGAACAAGGGAATTAATTGCATCGCTATGTTTTATGGACATTCTACCCTCCTGTAATAACTATATTATAATTAATACTCTTGCAACAACAGAAATGACTATAAAACACATCTAGTCGGCCAGGTGCGGTGGCTCACACCTGTAATCCCAGCACTTTGGGAGGCTGAGCCGGGCGGATCACGAGGTCAGGCGATTGAGACCGTCCTGGCTAACACGGTGAAACCCCGTCTCTACTAAAAATACAAAAAATTAGCCAGACATGGTGGTGGGTGCCTGTATCAGGAGGCTGAGGCGGGAGAATGGCGTGAACCCGGTAGGAAGAGTTTGCAGCGAGCCGAAATCGCGCCACTGCACTCCAGCCTGGGGAACAGAGCGAGACTCAGTCTCAAAAATAAAACAAAACAAAACAAAAAACACATCTAGTCATAAACTTAATAGAAAAAGAAATACGTAAGACAGAAATCATCAAACTTTACTAGCAGGCATAAAATAAGATCTACATAAAAGGAATGGCATTCCACACTCCTAAATGAGAATACTCAGTAATGTAAATATAGCTATTTGCCCTGAATTAATTGTATAAACTTACCATCATTTTGATCAAATTCCAAATGGTATTTACATGTGGACATTGGCAAAATGTTTCTAAATTTCATATTTAAAATAATTATATAATGTTATATAATATAATATAATTACATTAATTATTATCTATTATAATTATTAATCATATAAGTTATATAATGCAATATATAATATAAAATTATAATTATATATTATATATTATATAACTTATATAATATAATTATATATTATATTGCATAACATAATTATATCTTATATATTAATTATATAAGTTAAATAATATAACATATATAATTATATAACTTATAAGTTATGTAATATAATTATATAACTTATATATTTTATGTTATATAACATAATACAATTATAAAATATAATATATTTTATATAAATATAAAATATTATATAATATATTATATAACTTATAATATGTAATATATAGTTATATAACATATATTATATATTATATATCTTATAATATATATTATATAATATTAGTAACTATTATATTTATTATTATTAATATAATAACTATTGTCAACTTAATATATTATATAATTTATATAGTTATTTTTAAATACGAAATTTAGAAACATTTTGCCAACATTTTGTCAACGTGTAATAATTAAAAATAATTATATGAGTAAACAATTTTTTAAAAAATGAAAACCTGTGAAATTCATAGCACAAATTGAAATTAATTATAAAGACTCAGTAATTAAATCCAAAGTCTGCAAAAATAGAGAAACCATCAATGAAATAGAATTCAGAGTACAGAAATATAGATATAAGTAAACATAAGTAAACACACACCTCAGTAGTGACCAACTTTCTGGGTTTTAGCAATGAAAGTACTGTGTTCTTTTTTTATACAGCGGAGTCTTGTGGGTTGTGTAATCAGAAAACCACAATAGCTGTCACACACACAAAGAATTTTTCTAATCTAATTATTATTTCTCTCAAGCATCTGTCCATGGTGTTGAGCTGATTTGCCTGAGTGTCACTGTGTAAGTATGATAACAATTCTGTGGCCACCACACATTATGTTAGGAGTACTAAAGGATAAAGCTGATAGAATCTACTCTCACTTTATTTTGCTGGTTACATTTCTGTTTATTATACACGTGCTACTTTCTAGCAAAAGGATTTTCATTGATGAGCAGTACATCAAATAAACAATTTTGGAGAATCCTATAAAGAAGCCCAAGGAGGAGAAATCTAAAGAAGTGATAATTAACAGAGGCACTATTTTTTCAAATAACTGCAAGGACAGTTGAAATAGCATCAGTATTTCTTAAGTCCTATTAAAACAAATTTTACTGCCCCTCACCTACTCTTCCCATTTTTTTTTTGCAGTAGCTTTACTTTTTCTCTCCTTCTCTTTCTCCTTCTTATTCCGTCAATGCTGAAGTCCCTAGAGATTTTTAGATGACATGCCTGATCACAGTATAATCTTCTTAGATGAATAAACAAATTATATTACTCTTATAGTGTCTCCAAACCCTCAAACTTTGCAGTAAATTGAGGAATACAGAACTCTAATTTAATGACCGTACTGTTGTTATTATATGCTAAATAGAGAGTGTCCTAAAATTATTGCAATATTTAAATAGTTTCTGGTTTTATCAAAATAGTGGAAATGTGCTGTGTTGGTAGTTTTCATGGGGTTTCTTCAACAGAAAATTTCGGAATAACAATGTCCATCTAGTTTCTGACATACTCCATGAGTGTGATTTATCCTTTAATCCTCTCCATTCTACTGTGCAGATGAGGAAACTGAAGTTTAGCCAAGACCACACACATCGAGAAAGCAGAACTAACTGTATTTGAACTTTGTTCTATTTGGCTCAAAAATTAGATTGATTCTTTTTTTTTTTTCCTACATAAGGAGTAATTAAAGGTAAAGATAATTCTATTGAACATAAGTTTATCAATTTCAATACTTAAAAAGTATGGGAATTTAAAAAAATATCTATTTACAGTATAATTCCCTCCTACCCCACCCAAATGAGGCAACAGCATCAGAACTTAGAATTTTGGATGGAATGTACTTTAAAATAACATTGTGAAATGCTTGGCATGATCTCATCTGTTGACAAATAATGTACAGTTTTTATTTTCTCTATCTTGGCTTACTAATGAGGTCCATGTTAGTTTAAGATTTCTCCTTTCATTTGATAGAAATCTGGGATATTTATGGATACCATAATAATGTGAACAATAACAAGAGTAATGGAATATTACACCATTTATGACATTTTCTAGAGGTTCTAAGTACTTGTATTTTAGGTTATCTTCAGTGATTTACATGATAGACATTTTGTCTGATTAATTACCTCCTATTTGTTTCTTTGTTTGAGAGGGAGTCTCAACACTCAGGCTGGAGTGCAGTGGTGCAATCTCGGCTCACTACAACCTCCGCCTCGCCGGTTCAAGTGATTCTCCTGCCTCAGCCTCCCGACTAGCTGGGATTACAAGTGCGCCACCATACCTGGGTAATTTTTGTATTTTTAGTACAAACGGGGTTTCACCATGTTGGCCAGGCTGGTATTGAACTCCTGACCTCAAGTGATCCACCCACCTTTGCCTCCCAAAGTGCTGGGATTACAGGCATGAGCCACTGTGCCCAGCCACTACCTCCTATTTTGGATGAAAACCAGCTTTTTTCCTTTTACTGTTGCACATTACAACATTTTTCAAAAACTCTTTCTGTTGTGCAGATAGAAAAATGGAATTTTTCCTTTGAATTATTTTTGAGATTTTACCTGCAAATGGGAATAGGAGTCGGCACTACTCCAGGACTGCACTCCTGGAAGATGTGGTTACACAACAAAGCCTCAGCAGCTGGCCTGCAGAGTGGGCTCACTACTTTCAGTTCATTCCAGGCCGTGTGGACCAGCAGCTCTTGGGCCTCCTCAGGGTCCGCATAGGAGGTGTTGAGAAAAACAAGAGCGTCTTTTGCCAGGACTGCATTACACACCTCCCCTCTGTACTGGGCGCAGTAGCCTTTGTTATCTTTCTGTGGTTTACTGAAAGAAGAAATGAACAACATTTCTAATCACATGCTATTTCTTGGCATTCATTCTGCTTTTCTTTCTTTTTTTTTTTGTTTGTTTGTTTTCACATCTGTGTCACAGAAATAGGAGAAAATTGTACTAGCAAATCGGTTGACATGCTCCATTTGAATATGGTCTTCATTTCCAGCTGCAATTATATCATCTCTAGCTACTCCACAGGGCTATTGAGAAGGCTAAATGTGACGATGGATGTGGAAAGCTTTGGGAACTATAAAGGACTGAATAGATTTGGGTATTTTTATTATTCTACATTATAAATACAATCTGACTACTCTTAGTTAAGCTACCTTACAGACTTCTTGCAAAGAAGCTGATATAAGCAAAGATGCATCTAGAAGACATTTCATCATGATGGTTAACAAATAATTGAGCATAATAATAATTGCTCTCAGCTAAAATGTTTGCAGCTTTAGGGACATAGTTTATTTATGTGTTATGATAGTTTACCTTAGTTTTTTACAACATATACATCTTTGCAACACCTTCCATACTCAGATTCTCTCACTCACACATCTTCCCAGAATTCCATTAAAGAAAAAGAAAGTAATGTAGGGAGGAGAAAGCAGAAATATGGCTTCCAGAAGAGCCAAGTAGAACATTCAGCTTTGCTGTTTTCTCATCACATCTCATCACATGGAAAGTCAACTGGTCACCCAGTGCCTCAATGATCTATTCTGTTGAGTGATACAAGTAATTACTCTGAACTCGGATTATTGTGTGTTAATGGGCCATATATCAGGGAGAAACCTGTAAATGCTAGTGCTAGCACAAACATAGGATTAAAAACTTATCTGCTATAATAACTGAAGACAATTGGGAGAATGGAAAATGCTGCTGGTACTCTCTTCACGTATCTACTTGTTCCCTTAATGTAATGCTGGGAATTATAACAACTCATATACACACCTGACAAACATATGTGGAATACTTATTATGTTTAGGCACTGTGATGGTCTCAGTATGTTCTTATGCCTTCTATCAGATCTTTCATAGTGTTAGTAATGACAGAAAAGTCTTAAGTTGTATACTTATTTAGATTTGTACAACTATTGAATTTAGCTTTTCATTGTCTTTATATGAAGAATTTAAAGTAAGAAAATTAAACAAATTAGAATTTGTGTCAAATTTTAAAATTGTTACGTGACCTCAGTTGAATTTAAAAAATTAATACTATAATTACAAACCATCACTGGCAGGTCTTTAAAGCAAATTCATTGGAATGAGATATACTACATTCAGGTGAAACAATGAACTTCCAAGAAACACAGCTATGCTTTAAAACAATATTTTGTAATATAGGGTCTTCCTTTAATTCATACTAGCCTTTTACTAATTAGCCAGCATGATTTTTACTGTATCCCTTTGTTTGTTGGGGATATTTAAAATGAAGGCCTTGAATAAGAAAGCACAAAACTCCATGAAAACTTTCTCAAGGTAAAGGTGAGAAAACCCCCAGAGAAAATTAGACAGAAACAAGGATGCTGTTGTTCAGGCTCAGTAAATGACACCCCAAAGTGAAGGCCTAAGAAGCAGCCTCAGAAACAGACCTTCCGCCCTCCTGTCTCTCCTCTCTTTCTTCCCCGAGGCAAATCTTAGACACTAGAATCCCTCTTTTCCAAGACAGATCATAGACATCAGAATGCCTTTTCCTCAAGGTTAACCATAACACCTAAATATTTACTCTACCCATCCCCCGCTTTTCTGTATAACACCTGACCATAAAGAAATTCAGACCCTCATTCCAGAGGGATCCTACCTCTTACCTGGGAGGTGTGAGTGCTGCACAGGGGGGCTGAGAAAAATCGGAACAGGCAGGATGGGCTAGTTTCCCCACTCAGCCTGTTAGCATTAGATCACATTGTGTCTAATCATATTTCTACACAGTTGTTCATACTTCATCGAACCTAAGCATAAAAATGGATTGCTTCGGCTGGGTATGGTGGCTCACGCCTGTAATCTCAGCATTTTGGGAGGCTAAGATGGGCAGATCACTTGAGGTCAGGAGTTTGAGACCAGCCTGGCCAACATGGAGAAACCCAGTCCTACTAAAAGTATAAAAATTAGCTGGGCCTGGTGGCAGGCACCTGTAATCCCAGCTATTCACGGGCCTGAGGCAGCAGAATCACTTGAATCCAGGAGGCGGAGGTTGTAGTGAGCTGAGACTGCGCCACTGCACTCCAGCCTGGGTGACAGAGGAAGACTCTTGTCTCAGGAAAAAAAAAAAAAAAAAAAAAGGATTACTTTCCCTGTATCTAGGGTCTTCATTCTGAAGGGTCCCATGTTATATAAAACTGTGATCAAATAAATTTGTTATCCTCTTCTCTTGTTAACCTGTCATTATTATACAGGTGTCAGCCATGACTCTTAGGATGGGAAGGAAAGGAATTAATCTCCATCCAGCTTCTACACTGTGCTTTAAGTAACCATATAATAAGTAGTGACCAGTAATATTTCAAACTGGTTTACAAAATGGCCTCACAAGTTGATGTAATATCTCAGTATAAAGGGGGGATGAATACGATCATGTGTGACCCTTTATAGATAACAGAAAAAACTCCACCATGTAAAAATTAAATATTTCCCAGTGTCTCTGAGCTGAGAATTATTCATGCAGGTTTTGCTGTCATGTGTTAACTATTCAATGATGCTGGTATTCATTTTCTATGAGTATTTAAAAAAATAATACACATTCATGATGTTTCCTTTAATTATGCATCAAAACACATTTTTTTTAAACATTGGAAACTAAGAAAAAGTACACCAAAGAAAAATTGATGAAAATAGCTTCAGAGATAAGGATTACTAAAAATCAACTAACAATGAATCCCTCTGTCTGAATTTCTGCTAGTATTGAATCCTCATTAGTTTTACAGCATTAAATATATAATGCAAAATAAAAATGAAAAAGAAAAAAGGACAATAGGTTTTGAATAGAAATGAGAAGATCTTGGTTTTAATTTCATTTTTTTCTTCCTAACAGCTTGATGACCACTAGCCTATACAAACCCTTTATGTGCTGGGAAAAAACCATACACACACAAAGTATATGATTATTATTAGTTTTCCACATTTCATTTCTATGATGTTCCTGGAATGATTAAGGACTTGGCTTTGGTAGTATATCGATGCTTGGATTAGCTCTAAAAGGTAAGGCACACATAAGACCGACTATCTATCTATCTATTTAGATGGATAGATAGATAAATTTAGATAGATATATAGATCTAAATTATCTATATATCTAAATTTATATATACATCTCTGAATCTATTTATCAACTACCTAGTTATAGTTTCAGTGTTTCAAACACTTCCTTTTCCTTTTCCTCTCCTCTTGTGCAGAAATATAAGCCTTAAATTTTACACAGTGATCAAATTTTAGATGCAAGACACAGAGGCCAATTGGGACATTTTATTCCTCAGCCCCCTAAATCTATCACTTCCAACGTTTTAAAAAGGAGCTCATGGCAAGAACTGGGGAATAAATTAAATGCAAATAATTTCCACTGGTGTCTTCTGTTGTCTATTGTAAGTGACAAGACCCCTCCACATCCAGCTAAAGTTTTGTTTCTCTGCCTGAAGTTCGTGGGACTGCTGATGGGGCAACATTAGAAGCAGCTGGTCCTGTTGCTCATTAGAACAGTGGGACAGAGGTCACAGGGATCCATTCACAGAATGCTGGTTATTTCGGAATGACCAGCCAGACTAGCTTCTAAAAATGCTAGTTAATATTGCACATGGAGCCAGTCCCTCTCTTGCCTCTTTACAATATAAACTCAGTTGACTTCTCTTCCAGTGAAGTTCCTTTTCTTGTAGAGGCAATGATGGATATTTGATCTCGCATCTCCTTTTCAACTTCTTTTATAACAGACAACCCTATGTGGTCAAAGGAAGTAGGTAAAGAATTCTCACTGCACCTCTTACTCCTATTTCTCTCTACTTTGAAACGTATGAATCACATTCAATAGAACATTTTAAAATGTTATCTTCAAGTTTCTCTGAGGGAGATGTCTACTCCCTTTGAACACATAATACTTTGTCTCAAGGGCATTCCAGATGACCGGCCATGGCATGTTTGCGTTATGACAACCCCATGATTCTGGTGGAAACTCCACACCTTACTTCGCTCCCTCCCTAGCACAGGCACTCTTGACAGCTGTACCTCTCCTCTGGCTCAGATAAATCTTCCCTTTTTTAGCAACTGCCTTATCTCTCCTTGAACATTCCCAACAAAGGTAATGACAGATTCTATGCTACTTCCAACCTTCAAAGCAAACAGGAACTGTTTCTATTCTTTCCTGCCTAGTGTCTTTGCATATAATTTATTCTCCAAGGCAGGGGTCAGCAAGTACAACCCACAGGACAAATTTGGCCTACTGCCTGTTTTTTTTAGAAGAAGGGTTATTAAATGGCACTTTTATTAATTTTAGTTTAGATAAACTTTACTCTGCTAAGGCAGTAGCTCCAAAATTGTTGATACAAATTATTAAAGCAATATTTAGATTAAAAAATGGACTAAGAATTTTTTCTTTTTTTTTTTGAACTAAGAATTTTTGATACCACATTAACACATTGGAATGCAGTCAGTTATGACAAATCACTACCCCATATACTTACAACTAGTTCAATTTTTCATATAATGGGTATCATGATTTTCAGTGCTTTTTTTTGATGCAATATATACATCCAAATGGTATTTCTTAAGACTTTTTTAACAGCAAAACTTTCTTTAAAAAGTGTTTTTAGTTAAAAACTGTAATTTTTTTTGTTGCTGTGTACCACATGATGTTGTAAAACATGTATACATTGTGGGATGGCTAAATTGAGCTAATTAACAAATGTATTACCTCACATACTTACCATTTTCTTATGATGAGAACACTTAAAATCCATTCTCAGTGACTGTCAAGAATACAATACATTGTTATTAATGATAGTCACTGTATTGTACTCTAAATCGCTTGAACTTATTTTTGCTGTCTAACCAAAATTTTGTATCCTGCTGCCTGTTTTTAAACATAGCCTATGTGCTAAGAATGCTGTCTTTAAATTAATCACATTCCATAGAGTTTTATGAAAGTCAGTTTTAAAAGTACTGCAAATTAAACACTGTAAGTTGCAAAAGGTTATATTGCAAGGGATACCTTCTTATATATAGGATAGAGCTATGAGGGAGAGTTTGGAGTTCTGGGTTCCATTTCTAACTTTATCATTTACTAGCTGTGTAAGCCACTTGAACTCTCCAGTTCAAAGAAACTTTCTTAGGTTTTTTTTTTCTGTAAAATAGAGATAACAATAATACCTATTTCATGGGGATGTCTTGAAGATAAATTTAAATAATGCATGTGAAGCTCAGCACAGTGCCTGATCCATAGTAAGTGTTCAGTAGAGGTTACCTGTCTTTCACTTCATCATACTTACTAAAAGGATTAGAAATTAGAAAGTTTCTAAAATGTTACAGTGCTCAGCAAATAGTAAACACTCAATAAATGGCATGTCAAATAACAAAAACAAAACACATTCCACTGCACTCCAGCCTAGGCAACACAACAAGACCCTCTCACAAACAAAAACCAATGAAATCCCTACAAAACAAAACATTGGAAACATTGGTACAATAAGTTTCTTACCTCCATTCTATTAACAGGAAAGGAAGTTCCCACAGGAAGTCAAATTAAAGGGGAAAAGAAAGAACATTAGTACATTTTCATCTTATGCTTTGAAAGAGATTGTTTTGATACTGCTGATCTCTCAGTTTCTGAAAAGTTCTCTGCTTCTGCTAGGAGGCCAGCTGCTGCATTAATGGGCAGACTTGGAGGAAATTAAGAAAATATTGAGTATCTTTAGGAAACGTGTTCTTTTCAAACTGAGTCAATCATGGGTAACATCCACCAAGGGAATATCTAAGCTCAGAATTTCCCTCCATTAGCTACCCAGGGACTTTATATTAAGAAAACAAGATGTGGAGGTTAACAGAGAAGATGCATAAAGTAGACTTAGAGGGGAAAAAAAAAAAAGAAAAGAAAAAGAAGAAAGAGAAGGAGAAAAGAAAAGAAGATGTAGAGGAGAGAGGGTAGAAGAGAAAGTAGAAAGTAGGCAATGGTTGTTCTCATAGACCTGGCTGCCTCAGGGGTGGGGTGTGTGACCTGGGTAGCTGCACGGCATCTGCACTCAGAAGGGCCTCGGGCTTAATTTAATGTTCTGCTGTCACTACCTTGAAATCCTTACTGTTTTTTGAACACCTAGCCCTGCAAATTATGTAGCTGCCTATGCTCACGGATGTAAAAACTCAGGTCTCTGAGGAGACCATGCCTGTCCTCTGGTGGTGATTCCCAGGACAAATGGCCCCATCTTAGACTCTCCCAAGGCATGAGAATCCTGGCAAGGGTGTGATATAACCAGCATTTCTGAATTATTCCATTTTCTTTCTTGTAAATTAAAAACTTCACACTCTTTACCAAGTGCTTTATGGTTACTTCATCCTGTCATCTCAACCTTCATTATGAAAGTAAACAGTAAAACATATGCTTTGTCTAAAATCAATTTGCCATATTAAAATTTCTCCTAATGTTGAGGTCTAACTTCTTTTTGAAGGTTTTAGATCCATTTGGGTGTCATTTTTGGGGGGATTTTTAAGGGCTCTAACATGAATTTCTCTGAGAGATCAATCTTCTTAAAATACAATGAGCTTGTATTTCTGATCATTCTCTTTTAGATTTGTGAGGGTTGGTGACTACAAGGTTTTTACAACTTTCAGTGTATGACTTTTTTGAATCTCTACGGGCTTTTTATTCAATGATCCTGAAGAATATTGTAACTTTGATTTTAGGTTCGGGGGTACATATTCAGGTTTGTTATGTAGGTAAACTTGTGACTTGGCAGTTTGGTGTATAGATTATTTCATCACCCGAGTACTAAGCATAGTGCCCGAAAGTTGTTCTATTTTTTTTTCTAATCCTCTCCTTTCTCCAACCCTGTACCCTCAAGTAGGTGCCAGTGTCTGTTGTTCCCCTCTTTCTGTCCATGTGTTCTCCCATTTATAAGTGGGAACATGCAGTATTTAGTTTTCTGTTCCTGCATTAGTTTGCTAAGGATAGTGGCCTCCAGTTCCATACAAGTTCCTACAAAGGACATGATCTTATTATTTTTTATGACCACATAGTATTCCATAATATTCCATGGTGTATACGTGCCACATTTTCTTTGTCCAATCTGTCATTGATAGGCATTTAGGTTGATTCCACATCTTTGCTATTATGAATGTTGCTGCAATGAACATTTGCACACATGTGTCTTTATGGTAGACTGATTTATATTCCTTTGGATATATACTCAGTAGTGGGAGTGCTGGGTTGAATGGTGGTTCTGTTTTTAGTTTAGTTATCTTAGGACTTACCACCCTGCTTTCCACAGTGGTTGAACTAATTTTCACCACCACCAGCAGTGTATAAGAGTTCCCTTTTCTCAGCAACCTCACCAATATCTGTTATTTTTTTATTTTTTATTTCTTTTGAGGTGGAATCTCACTGTGTTGCCCAGGAGAGAATGCAGTGCAGTGGCGTGATCTTGGCTCACTGCAGCCTCCGCCTCCCAGGTTTGAGTAATTTTCCTGCCTCAGCCTCCCATGTAGCTGAGATTACAGGCACGTGCTACCACACCTGGCTAACTTTTGGATTTCTAGTAGAGACGAGGTTTTGCCATGTTGTCCATGCTGGTCTTGAACAGCATCTGTTATTTTTTGACTTTTTAATAATAGCTGGAGTGACATGGTATCTCATTGTGGTTTTGATTTGCATTTCTCTAATGATTAGTGATATTGAGCATTTTTTCATATGCTTGTTGACTGCATGTATATCTTCTTTTCAAAAGTGTGTTTATGCCCTTTGCTCACTTTTAAATGAGGTTGTTTTTGTGCTTGTATGTGTAAGTTTCTTGTAGATTCTGAATACTAGAACTTTGTCAGGTGTATAAGGTTTGTAAATATTTCTCCCATTCTGTAAGTTGCCTGTTTAGTCTGTTGATAGTTTCTTTTGCTATGCAGAAGCTCTTAAGTTTAATTAAGTTCCATTTGTCAGATTTTGCTTTTGCTGCAGTTGCTTTTGGCATTTTTGTCATGAAATCTTTGCCAGTTACCATTTTAGGTTTTACATTTAGGTCTATAATCCATCTTGAGTTGATTTTTGTATATGGTGTAGGGAAGGGATCCAGTTTCAATCTTCTACATATGGCTAGCCAGCTATCACAGCACCATTTATTAAATAGGGATTCTTTCCCCATTGCTTGTTTTTGCCAGCTTTGCCTAAGTCTAGATGGTTGTAAGTGTGTGGTTTTATTTCTGGGCTCTCTATTCTCTTCCAGTGGTCTATGTGTCTGTTTTTGTACCAGTACCATGCTGTTTTGGTTACTGTAGCCCTGTAGTATAGTTTGAAGTCAGATACCGTGATACCTCCAGCTTTGTTCTTTTTGCTTAGGGTTGCCTTGACTGTTTGGGCCCTTCCTTGATTCTATATGAATTTTAGAATAGTTTTTTTTTCTAGTTCTGTGAAGAATGTAATTGGTTGTTTGATAGCAATAGCACTGAATCTATAAATTTCTTTGGGCACACTGAGCAGCATTTTGTAATTCTTATTGCAGAGATCTTTCACCTCCCGGGTTAGCTGTATTCCTAGGTATTTATTCTTTTGTAGCAATTGTGAAAGGGATTGTTTTTCTGATTTGGCTTGGTGATTGTTGGTATATAGGAATTTACTGATTTTTGTACATTAATTTTGTACCCTGAAGCTTTGCTGATGTTGCTTAACAGTTCAAGGAGCTTTTGGGCAGAGACTATGGGATTTCTAGATATAGAATCATGTTATCTGCAAACAGGGATACCTTGACTTCCCCTCTTCCTATTTGGATGCCTTTTCTTTCTTTCTCTTGTCTGATTGCAGTGGCCAGGGCTTCTAATACTATGTTGAATAGGAGGGTGAAACTCCTTCTTTACAAAAAATACAAAAATTAGCTGAGCATGATGGCACACACCTGTAGTCCCAGCTACTTGGGAGGCTATGGCAGGAGGATCATTTGAGCTCAGGCAGAGGTTGCAATGAGCCGAGATCACACACCACTTCACTCCAACTTGGGAGGCAGAGAGAGACTCTGTCTCAAAACAAAACAAAATCTTTATCAATTAGATATCCTGATAAATAACATGGAATGGTGATCAAAAGAGGGACCCACTTTTCTTTATTCTTTTAAAATACAAGTACCTCACTAAACAGAAATGAGCTCTGAGAGTATGCTAATTTGGTTAATGCATACATATGTGTGTGTGTGTGTATGTATATATACATACACACACACACACGTAGAGTTCATAGACTCTTATAATAAAGGAAAGTAGCAAGGAGGCAATAATAATCAAAAGGTTCATTTTTTAATGGAATAAATTTTATTTCACTAAACATTTTTAGCAGAAATTCAAAATTGTAAAGAAATAGACTTTTTTGACAAATTGGCTGAAGAATAATGCAAGTGTTCAAAATGAGTGAAACAGAAAAAGACAGTTACAACAATATGTAACAATCTCATGATTCCCTATATGTGATAAAGTACTAGCAGTACAAAAATAAGTCATAAATACTCAGCCATATTATTTGGTAAATGTTTCTTTTTTCTTTTCTTTCTTTTTTTTTTTTTTTTTTTTTTTTGAGACAGAGTCTCGCTCTGTTGCCCACGCTGGAGCACAGTGGCACAATCTTGGCTCACTGCAACCTTTGCCTCTGGGGTTCAAGAAATTATTCTGCTTCAGCCTCCTGAGTAGCTGGGACTACAGGCACCTGCCACCTGCCTGGCTAATTTTTGTATTTTTAGTAGAGATGGGGTATCACCATGTTGGCCAGGCTAGTCTCAAACTCCAGACCTCAAATTATCCACCCGCCTCGGCCTCCCAAAGCGCTGGTATACAGGCATGAGCCACTGCATCTGGCCAATATTTCATTTTTAATTCTAAATTTTCAACATTAGATGCAGTAGTCATCAGGCTAACTGAAATTGAATTAAATGAGTTAAGGCAAACTGGTTTTAGAAGTTGATTCTGGGTGAATTAGTCTATTATAAATATACTGAATTCATCCCATCAAAACACCAGTATTTTTATTTCAACTACTCACAGCATAGACCCCCTTGTATTTATTGTTTTTTCCACCGGTAGTTGACATGCCCTCAAAAAGCAAGACAAATGATTGTAGGAAATATATAAACACACACACACACAGACACACACACACAACTTGATATTTTTCCTTGGAATTTCCTAAAAGGCAAAATCACCCCAACCTTTGTTGCAATTTGAAGGCCCTATCACCAAATACCTTTGGTTCTCATCCTTCAAATAAAGATGAAGGGCATCTCAGCAAATACAAGGAGAAAGGGATGAATTATTTCCCTAGATCTTCTCATTCTTGAGTGATGTAAATGATAACAACACATCTCATGGAGTGATTTTTCAACTTCCTAAGAATTAAGAAACTAGAACTCAGAGACAAGGAAAGGGTTTGTTTTGTCTTTTTTTTTTTTTTTTTAAATAATATTACTGTCTAAAAAGAATTGCAACAATCTGAGGGCAGAGAGAGAGGATCCAGGAGTAGAGCTCC